ATGATATAGATGAGTCTTCTCCATAGACGTCAATATCCATGCCATCAAGTTGTCAATTGTTCAATAGCTCATATCTCTTTCACCGACAGTCTTCCTTGATCAATTATACTCCATCATTCAGCAATAATTGTATGGTGTAATTGTCGATACCCAAGCATCATGGTCATACGAGCTCCATAAAACCATCATTCTTTTCCTTTAGCGATAAGCGCCATGAAACAACCTACAACGGCGGAGAGCTGTCTCTAATGGTCATTAGGGATAGGCTTTTCCACTTTTAGGGACGGCTTCTCCTATAGTCCGTTATCCATTTGCTAGACCATTTTATCGTTGTTCGGGTTAGGAAACACCATCCATAAAGTTTACAGGCTTTAATTAGTCTATCGAGGGTACCAAATATATCGACAATCTCAATGTCTTGGTGACATTAAAGTATGCATGCAATTAGGAGAGGAGGGGACGTTACAGTAAAGTTTAGTTTTCTACGATATTGAATGCACCAACTGTCACCCCTCGAAACTCATAAAAATTGGGATGACATGACCTTCCTTCCATCTAAAGAACCCAACCTCAAACAGAAACTAACAACCTATCATCAAAATATATATCTTCAACTATATATATGTATGTATGTATGTATATATGTATGTATGTATGTATAGATATATAAAATAAACGAGTAGATTTTGTTACAACATTAGAGTTTCTATAATCCATCGCAAAGAATAATTACATATCTAACTAACAACTAAACCGAGCAACTATCAACAAACATAAATAAATAAAAACAACTCTCTCGGACCATACAAAAAATCTAACTCCCAAAAGTCCTCGTCGAAAGCGCTCTCATACAATTTGCGGCTAACCGAGGAACCTGAAAATGCGAAAGATGAATGGAGTGAGCAATGACAGCTCAGTAAATGGTACAACTCTTTTAAGGAGATCGGGCCTCGACGATATCCATTTAAAATCAAAGACGTAACTCATTTATATCAATCTAGAATATAATAAACTTACAAAAATAAAACGAGCTCTATATTACTTCAACATAACTATATTCATAGCAAATATACCCATTTCATCAATGATATCAAAATAAGTATTAATGGTCCAATTCAATGATCAATCTCATCAAATCACATATCAACGGTCCACTCCACGCTCAATAGTCAACTCAAGGCTCTAGAGGTAGCTCCCACAAAACTTACATTATCATATAGCACTTAGTCTTGAGCAATGCATATCAATAGTACGAGGCCCTAGAGGTGGCTCTCACAAGATTTGCGTCGTCGTGTAGCACATGACCCTTGACTATGTATATGATTAGTATAAGGCCCTAGAAGTGGCTTCCACGAGATTTGGGTCACCATGCTTAGCCCTTGACTACAAGGCCCTAGAGATGGCTCCCATGACACTCACGTCGTCATGTAGCACTTAGTCCTTGACCAGTCTATATTACAATTGGTTTCACAATCCAAAACACATAATCTTTCGATACTCAGTTCATCAGTCAGAATCTCCTTTCGTCAAGTATTGGTCAAATCTTTTCGGGAGTTTTCTTGTAAATCAAATTCGCAAAGTAGTAAACATAACCTTTGAAGAAAAGTGAATTAAACCATCTCTCAATAACTCAAAATGTAGTAAACACTCGATCCAGTTTTATGCAACAAATATGCTCTTCTTAATTCCATATATACATATATATACATATATATATATATATGTATATATACATATATATACATATATATATATATATACATATATATACATATATATATATATATATATATATATTGAATTACTATTACTTCAAATCATGAGTTTTACAAAAGCAAAGAAGAAATCAGCACCACTCACCTGAAAATGCCCAAAATCAAACCACATAGCTAATCAAGCCAATGATCCCATAATCCTAACAATTTAATAAGAATCGACGTCAAAATCAAGTGAAACATTACATCAATTTCGAAGTGACTAAACTACGCTTAAACGTTAACAAAATAACTCCTACGAGTCAACCAATCACACACCTAAAGTGATTATTCAACCCATTCGCAGCACAAAGCTCACATGTGAAATCCTAAAATTTTGCTCTGACTAAGCCATTGCTCCAAATCGACTCCTATTAAAATGCACAGCTCAACAATGCCATAATCCATCGTTTTCGTGAAATCTCATAGCTCAACAACTCAAAAATCGGACTCCACAGCTTAAATTTCACAAAATTTTGAATTTGTGCCCTAATCCTAAAAAAACCACTCCGATTAGACGAACGAAGCGTGCAAACACTTGTAGCGCGTTGTGAATCGAAGTAAATCTGGATTGGTGTGTAATTCCTTCGCTAGATTGAGATATTATTTCGTGAGGAATTGTGGGGCTAAACACTTCGTGAGTTATTAGATGTAATTGGGCCTTGAGAAACACTTAAAGTCTTTGAGTGACTCGAGTGTGGTTGTAATTCTCGTTGTATCGCTTAATCTATAGTGGAATTTCATGTTGCTCTTTCTGTGGATAGAGGTCACTATGATCAAATCATGTAAATCTGATGTCCGATTTATTTTCTTATTCTATCATATTATTGTTCGATCAGTTGGCTTCCTCAACAATTGATATCAGAGCTAGAATTGACTGAGTTGAAGCGAATCGATGGCAATGGAAGAAGGAAAAGTGAAAATCAACAGATTTGATACAAAGGATTTTGGTTTCTGGAAGATGCAGATTAAGGATTATCTATATTAGATGAAACTGCACTTGCTCTTGTCTGGGGAGAAGCTAGAGATGATGAAGCAATCTGACTGGGAATTGCTAGATAGAAGAGTTTTGGGTGTTATTCGACTGACGTTGGCTCGTAATGTCGCGTTTAACATCGTGAAAGAGACGACCACTACAGGTTTGATGAAAGCCCTATCAGACATGTACGAGAAGCCCTCTGTAATTAACAAAGTCTACTTGATACGACGTCTATTTAACTTGAAGATGAACGAATGTGCATCAATTGCTGATCATGTTAATGAATTCAATGTAATCGTTAGTCAATTGAGTTCAGTTGAGATTGACTTTGAAGACGAGGTACGTACTTCGATTCCATTATCCTCATTGCCTGATAGTTGGAATACTACTGTTACTGCTATTAGTAATTCCTCTGGGTCAACAAGTTTGACGTTTGATGGTGTTCGAGATTTAATTCTAAGTGAAGACATCTGTAGAAGAGAATCTGGTGAATATGTATCAACTACTTTGGTAGGTGAAAATAGAAGAAGAACTAATACACGTATTAGCAGAAGTGGTATAAACACGAATAGATGAAGATAGTCTAGGATTGGCGGTGTTGTCTATTGGAATTGTGGCAAGAGGAGGTATCTTCGAAGGGATTGTCTTAAGATGAAGAACGAGAAGGGTAAGGGAATTAAAGTTGAGTCTGCGCATGATGTTGCAGCTATAGCAGACAGTAATTCGGATAGTGCTGATTATATCTTGTCTGTCACTGATGATTCATCATTTGGCGGATGGATTATGGATTCTGGTTATTCTTTTCACACTACACCAAATAGGAACCGGTTTACTACTTATTAGTGCACGGATAGTAATAAAGTGCAGTTGGGAAACAACGCGAATTGCAATATTGTAGGTGCCGGTGATGTTAGAATCGGAATGCATGATGGTATTGTGTAGATATTTACTGGAGTGAGGCATGTTCCAGAGTTAAAGAAAAATCTGATTTCCTTGAGTGCCTTGGATTCAGCTAGGTGTCGGTATTATTCAAAATGTGGAGTTCTAAAAATTATTCGAGGTGCCATGATGATAATGAAAGGAATCAAGCATAATAGCCTGTATGAACTTCAACGTGAAACAGTGACGGAATTTGCTGCAAAGACGTCGGATGTATCGGTTCGAAAGTCTAAATTGTGGCAAATGCATTTGGGGCACATAAGCGAGAAAAGCCTGAAAGTTCTAAGTGAAAGAAATTTGATATGTGTTTATGTGGCTAATAAACTAAATGTATGCAGGTGTTGTGATTCAGATCAACAACGGAAAGTGCAGTCGAGTGAGATTGTCAGAGAAACCACGGAAATTGCAGAATTAATTCACTTAGATATTCGCAGGTTGTCGTGGTTTCCTTCAGGGAAGAGTGCTAGATTTATGCTAACAATTATTGATGACTACTCGAAGAAGACGTGGGTGTTTGTGTTTAGGAACAAGTTTGATGTTGTTGTCAGGATTAGGTAGTTGAGAGCTTTGATCGAAAAGGAGACTGGTAAAATGATCAAGCAAGTGCGGATTGACAATAGTATGGAGTTTTGCTCGAAGCAGTTAAACGAATTCTGCATGAAGGAAGGCACGGTGAGATACCACACTAGTGCCAGTGAACCACAACATGTTGCAGAGTTGATAAGCAAAACGTTACTAGAGACGGCCCATAAAATGATCTCTAGTGCTGGTATAGCTAGAAGGTTTCTAGCGGATGCACTTAGTACGGCGAGCTATCTAAAGAATAGATCCCCATCGATTGCAATTGGATGTCAGACTCCTGAAGAAGTGTAGTCAGGTAACGTTGCTGATTATTTTGTTATTAGAATATTTGATTGTCCATGTTATGTTCGGGTTAGTGATGGTAAGCTCAATGGAATGGCAAGAAAGTACATGTTCCTAGGTTATGCACAAGGTGAGCGGGGTTATCGGTTGTGGTGCCCGGAATTAAATTCACATGTTATCAGCAAAGAAGTTACATTTGACGAATCTCCAGTACTTCTGGGTAGAAGTGCTAGTAGCAGTGTTTATACGGATATGAACAGTGTTCAACTTGAGGTGAAGTTGCAACCAGAAACTCCTAAGGTAGCGGGTACTAGCGGAGTAATCGACACAGATAGTGCTTGTAGCAAGGTAGAGCCTATTGAGCCAACAATTATTGTAACTACGAATATTGATATGAACTTATGATAGTTATAGGAAACTACCAGCAATCCCTGGTGCACGTAGAGAAGCAGACATTTTGGAGGCTATAGAACCCTTGTTTTCCTCATCATCTACACTGCCACAAAGACTGCAATCCTTCTTCACTCACTCTTCAATGGCGACTGCCAATATTTTCCTCCTCCAATTGCTTCTACTCGCCCTTGTTGGTAGCTCTCTACTAATTAAAGGGATAGTCTCCCAAGATGATCGAAAGGCAAGGCCCCCCCCCCCTGCTCGTGCTATCTTTCTCTCTCGAAAATTTTCTCCCGTTCAATTATTTGTCGTAATTCTAACATGAAGTATACTTTTCCTTTCAACAAAATTCTCGCCTAAAGATCATTTCGATAGACCAAACAAAACCAACTTGAACCTTCAAAAAGATGAAGTCATTGTGATTGATTAATGCCTGCCGCCTTTGATATATAAAATGCTAGCATTGTGTTTTATGAGGTATGACCCTATCAATGTTACACCTGAGCTACTGTACTCAGATAGCTAAGAGCAGCATCTCAGTCAATTGCAGATTTCTCTTACGTGCTTCAACTTCCTTGCATTACTTCCAAATTGACAGACTTTTTTTTCTCTATATTGATTGAATTTTTCTTGTCTACCTAATATGCAACCAGGCCTTCATTGTGTACATGGGCAACCGGCTCAAAAATGACGTTTCCACATCGTCACCTCAACACATTAACATGCTCCAGGAAATCACTAGCAGGTCAGATAACCCATACAATTTTAAGCATAGCTCATTTAGAAGTGTTAATAATTTCTTCTGGTTGTACAAACCTATCAATAGCAACTCCACAGGTATGCAGAAGAGAAATGCTATTCCGCCATTATTTGATATTTGAACGAACTATTTCATAAGAATTTTCACAATATGTGCAGCGATGTTCCCTCAAAGCATCTGCTCCACAGCTATAAAAGGAGCTTCAATGGATTTGCAGCGATGTTAACCGAAGAGGAAGCGAAGAAGATGGCTGGTAATTGACAACACGATTTACTATATACGTTTCTCTCTTCGTGCTTGCACAATCTGAAAAAAAATCATTTCTGGGACACAATACTTAGGACTGGAGGGCGTGGTGTCCGTGTTCCCCAATCGGAAGAATAAGCTCCACACCACAAAATCATGGGACTTCATGGGCTTCTCACGACAAGTGGATCGATCGATAACTGAAGGTGACCTCATCGTCGGAATGCTCGACAGTGGCATATGGCCGGAATCGGAGAGTTTCAGTGATCGAGGGCTGGGCCCGCCGCCGAGCCATTGGAAGGGCACTTGTCAAAGTTCATCCGATTTCACCTGCAACAAGTACATAAATTATATAATATTCCTCATAAGAAAACTACATAAATATATCTTACGCGAATATCGTACGCTTTAATGTGCTATGGCAACGATGTTTATGTTTGCGAGCAGGTAGAGAGAGTGATGTCACATCAACATTTTCTTAAAAGTAAGTACCTAAAGAAATGAAAGTGAACAAATTTGCATGGACATGACTCATTCTATCCATTGATTGATAGCTTTGTCTTGTAACGAGATGTCGTGTTCTTCTTGGCATGGATAGTTTCAAGGTCAATTAGAACCCTATTTTCGATAGGCTCAATCTTTTCCCTTCATTTCTGCACAATCTCAGGAAAATAGAAAAGCAATAGAACTACATTCGGAAAATCAAGAGGCTTATGATTAGAATTATCTAAAATTTGTAGTGACTATATTAAAACTTTATATATTTTGAAGCCAGAGAGATGAGACCACAGAGTCAAGAAGAAATATGAAGAATATAGGTCAATCAGTTCAACAAAATTACCATGCACTCATTCCATATGATAATGAGTACGCTCAAACACCAATTCTTTTATAGCAAGGTTATTGGGGCGAAATACTACCGAATAGATGGCAAATTTGGTCCGATCGATCGCCGATCCCCGAGAGACTCCACTGGCCACGGGTCGCACACGGCGTCGACGGTAGCCGGAGATGAAGTAAGCATGGCCAACCTATACGGCCTGGCTCAAGGCACAGCTCGCGGTGGAGTTCCATCGGCCCGCATTGCAGTGTACAAAGTGTGTTGGTCCGATGGTTGCTATGACGCCGACATCCTTGCCGCGTTCGACGACGCGATCGCTGATGGAGTCCACATCATTTCCATCTCGATCGGGTTCTCCTTGGCTAGAGACTATTTGAGGGATTCGATTGCGATAGGAGCTTTTCATGCCATGCAAAACAGAATACTCACATCAACTTCTGCAGGCAATAGCGGATCCAGGTTTAACTCCATCACTAACTTCTCTCCATGGTCTCTCTCGGTCGCTGCAAGTACCATCGACAGGAAGTTCTTCACTCAAGTGCTATTGGGCAATAAGAAGACTTACGAGGTAATAAAAGTTCTCTCGAAAAGGAGTAGTTACCTTCCGGGTTCGATCTTGCACGTAGAGAACAAGTATCCTGCACGCTAAATCATCTAATTCAAGCCAAAAATATGTGGGACTCACAATGGTCCCCTTTGGAAAGCACCAGTTCCCATGCAATTATTCCATCGTGATTAGTTCTGATTACCATATCGTCCATAAATTAGGATGTACAAGATATTCTCCTAAGTAGCACATGTAAAAGATTTGTTTTCTATGTACCTAATATGTGGTACGGTAAATCGAATTGGCAGGGAATCTCCATAAACACCTTTGATCTCGAAAGTAAGATGTATCCATTGATTTATGGAGGCCATGCTCCCGATGTCTCTACTGGATTCGATGCATCCATATCCAGGTAATTTACTGACCACCGAAGACTACAATAAATTCCGCCAGCGGTCACTAATTTCCGTGCATCTTGCAATCAAGTCACTAAATTTTTTAGGGATGCTAAACAAACTAAAGACTTTGAGTTTTTATGTGAAGAAAATGCTCTCCGGGAACATTGGACCCCAACTTGGTGAAGGGCAAAATTGTGTTCTGTGATGCTCTTGAGAATAGAGGACCATTCTTTGCTGGTGCTATTGGTGCTTTGCTGCAAGACTATGGACCCAAAGACACTGCCAACTCTTTCCCCATACCCACATCTTACCTAGACCCAAAGGCCGGCAACGATATCTACTTGTACATGAGCAACACCAGGTCTTTTTTTCTAATTCCCTTTCTTTCTTTTTTTTGTCTCTTTTGCCTTTTGCACAAAAAAGCTTCAGTTAATCCAATTATGGCAATGGCGTGAGCACTAAATTGTTTGAAAACTCTCTTAGCGGCCCAATGGCGACCATATGCAAGAGCTATGAGGGACCCAATGAGCTTGCGCCCTACGTGGTGTCCTTTTCATCAAGGGGTCCAAACTCAGTTACACCTGATATTCTTACGGTAATTTTATATGTTATATCAGTCTACAAGATTGTGTATGGAGAATTGTATGAATCAACATTGAACTTATACGATACACCTGTAACAATAATACATGATATCTTGTTAATTACAGCCAGATTTGGCAGCCCCAGGTGTTCATATTTTGGCTGCATGGTCTTTGGACAATCCGGTTTCGCAGGTTGACGGAGATGTCAGATATGTACCCTACAACATTATATCAGGGACGTCAATGGCATGTCCACATGTAACTGCAATCGCGGCTTACATTAAGTCATTCCGCCCCTCATGGTCTCCTGCAGCGATTAAGTCTGCTCTTATGACCACTGGTAATGTTCATTATCTTGTTGAATCAATTCGATTTTCTTACGACCAGATTGACAATTTTGAAGTAGAACGGAGGAAAATGTGTTATAAAAAGATGCATGAAATGCTATTTATCTCTCTGGTCGAATGCCGCACGATTTGAATAGTAGCATCATCTAATGTGCTGAGTACTCAATGAATGATCACATTGACTAATCTGGTTTGAGAACGATACTATCATTTTGTCATTGGTGAAAATTAGGGTCAATAACAGACATTTGTTAGCATGCAGGTCTAGTAAGTAATGTTTCTAATGACATTGTGCAAAGAACACCAATAACTCCAGGGAGCTCCCGATTTTTCATATTTCACAATATGGACATATATCGGGCCTGATTCACTTTCATTTCTTGATAATTTCTAGCTCTTCCCATGAGTGCGGAGATCAACTCTGAAGCCGAATTCGCTTACGGGGCAGGCCAACTTAATCCCGTTCAATCGCTACATCCCGGCTTGTTGTACGATGCCAATGAAACTGATTATGTCAACTTCTTATGCGGACAGAATTACAGCACGGAAAAATTGCGACTGGTCACAGGTGATGACAGCACTTGCTCGGGATCAAACAATGGAACAGCAGCTTGGGACCTGAATTATCCATCATTTGCACTTTGTACTGCAACGAAGGCCTTTAACCGCACCTTTACGAGGATCGTGACAAATGTCGGGTCACCTACATCAAGGTACACCTCTGTTATTGAAGCTCCACATGGGATCGATATCAAAGTTATACCCAGTGACTTGTCCTTCTCAAGTCTTGGACAGAAACTGGCTTTCAGGGTAATTGTTGAAGGGAAGTTGGACAAAGACATCCTTTCTGCTTCTCTAACATGGGCTGATGGGAATTATCAAGTAAGAAGCCCCATTGTCGCATTCTCTCGTCAAATAATTATACAGTGATCTTGAACCTTGTCATGTAATTGCAATCGAACGTTCGATGCTCCACAAAAATAAGAGGTAAGAATATGATCAGTGTTTGATAGTACGACTATGCTTTCTGGGGATATTTTGATGATGCTTAAAAAGGGTGACCCTGTATTTCAGTAAAATTTTAATGGCAAACTTCTTTCCAAAATCTCATTCCGCATACTCTGTTAGAAGTTGGGATCGACCCCGACCCTCGCTTGATAATAGCATTAGTTGTTTTGATGTTCTTGTCTTACAATTGGGTCCATGTTATCCCAAGGCAGGTCTCATCCAACGAAAAACGTTCTTACAATGGGGTCCATGTTATCCCAAGGCAGGTCTCATCCAACGAAAAACGTGCTACAAACTCGGATGTGAGTAGCGGATACTTCCTCTTATTCCGAGACCAATTGCTTTTATTGCCGCTATCCCGTCCTTTGCAATGCTCTTTCTCACAAGTACAACATGAAAACTTGTTCTACTGGATACTTCATTGAAGTTGAGTGAATACTCGTAGTAGGTGATTTCACCTAGAGATCATTTTCCAGCGACCTTGTTTGATTGCATTGAGCTTGCTTGAACGACACGCTCAAGAAAACAATATTTTCTATTTAACAAAGATAGTACGATATATGCAATTGTTATGACCAATGCGGAAACTATAACAAAATTAAAACTAATAAGAGTAAAAGAACACACAGATCTATTAGGAAAACCCTTACGGAAAACTACATGGAGAGGAGAAACAAAATCCATTATGGAAATTCAAGGATTACAAAATGTGGCTCAAAAACCTTAAGACTCTTCTAGTCTCTATTTCAAACCTAATAACTTGAGAAAAACAATATATACAACCCAAGCCCTATGCTACCAACACTAAGGTTCCGTTTGTTTTGCAGAAAATGTGACATTTTTTAAAAATATTTTCCGAAAAGTCATTTTTCAGGAAAATGACAATATTGTCCGTCATTTGATAAGGAAAATCTCGATTGGTCCGAAGTTGCCGACGTGGACGCCGGTTGTCCTACATGGCACAGCCGCTCAAGTGAACATTTTTTGTAATTTTTTAAACTAATTTTTTAATATTTTTCTTCTTTCTTTATTTTTCTTTTCTTTCTTTGTCTTTTGCCTTCTTCCTCCACTGATCACCGAGGTCACGGGCAAGGGGCCAACCTCGCCGGCCCCGAGGCCGGTGAGGTCGAGCCTCGCTTGTGGCCGACCATCGTCAATGCCTGGCGATCGATAAAGGAAGAAGGAAAAGAAAAAGAAAAACTTTTGGTCTCGATGGACTCGAGCACAGACATTTAGGATCCAAGCACGGGTGTCAAGGGCCGGTTTCGAGCGAGGCCTAGCGATCAACAGAGGAAGAAGGAAAAAGAAAAATTTTAAAAAAAATGGTCACGATGGACTCTAGCACGAACGTCGAGGACCCAAGCACAAGCATCGAGGACCTAGGCTCGGCCTTGATGTCACTGGGCCTAGCATCCAAAGCATAGGCACTGGTGTCCTAGGCCTAGCCTTAATACACCCGAGCGCGGCCTAGATAGACCTGGGCCCGGCCTCAATGGATCTAGGCTCGGGTGCCGGGGACCTAGCCCCATTGCCAAGGGCGTTGGTGTTCATATGCCCAACCACAGAGTTTTTGGTCTAAACGCTGATACCTAGTTATATTTTGGAAAATGATTTTCGATTTTTAAAGAGAAAATCATTTTCCTGAATTTAAGATTTGGTAGGAAACCATTTTCCATTGACTTATTTTCATAAGTGAACCAAACACCGGAAAATGAGGAAAATGTTTTCTTGAAAAATGTTTTCCTCGAAATAAATTTAGCCTAAATCTACATTTATTTTTCTCAAGTTAGGTCGGCACAAATTTCAATACGGGTATCAAAACTCAATTTGGGTCATAACGTATTCAACATATCCCCCCTTGGCTTGAATTCTCAAATAGATATAAGCATGAAACAATCTTCTCCTTCTACTAAAGTAAAACTCAGTTGCACCAAACATTAACCAAATCCAAGTAACGCTTGAATTTAACAATCGGCAAGGGTTTGATCAACATATCAAATAGATTGTTTTTGTACCAATTTATTGTTAGTGGTCTGCCCTAGGAATCAATCAATGTTGATACTCTAATATTAGTTGTGGATTAGGTTGTGTCGAAAAATCGACCTTCACTGTACTTAGGTAGTCATAATGTCTTGCTAGAAACCGCTTATGACTTGTGGGCCAAAAAGGGTTTTGAGCACACTGCTAATGTTTAGTGAACCTACAGGATCGCACACAATAGCGAACTGAGTTAATATTTTCTGTGCGCCAGGATCTACTTAAAATAAGAAGTAGATTTTAATTTATTCTCCAATTCAACTTATGTACGCGATTGTGCACGTTATGAGATAACGATTAAACGTACAATTGAAATTGGACATTTTGGCGGGCCCAAATCACCCAGCCCCACTTCTTTTAATTCGCATAGATAATAAGGCTATATATATAGCGTGTGGGTGACGAAAAACTAACCCTAAGAAAATACGAAGAGAATCGTTCTCTGTTCAGAGATCTTTGAGAGAGTCTCGAAGATCAAACGCGATCAGGAAAAAGAAGTCCAAGATCTTTAGCCAGTACTTGGATCGTTGGAGACTTCCGTTCGTGTGTGTGGATACCAGTAGAGGCGCAACACTTGGGGCACTAATCTAGATACAATCGATTATCAATTTACCTTCGATCTGCAAAAGGTACGTGTCGAACTTCTATTTAGATTTTAATATACGCATGGATCCTATCTAGGATTTCGGTTTATAAATTCCGATGCATTTTTAGCACTTGAGGAACCCTACATTTATAGCCATCGGTAAGAATGTCTCGAGTAAAATGATACTGCACATCAATGTGCTTTGTCCTCTCATGATACATTTGATCTTTAGGAAGATGTATAGCACTCTCACTATCACAGTGGACAACAATCACACCATGATCCACACTGAGCTCTCCAAATAAGCCTCTTAAACATATAGCCTCTTGAACTATCTCTGTAATAGCCATATACTTTGCCTCTGTAGTAGAAAAAGCAACCGTATGTTGTTAGTAGCTTTCCAATTAACTGCACAACCTCCAATAACAAAAATATACTTGGTCAAAGACCTCTTCTTATCAAAGTCACCGGCATAATCAGAATCAATATATCACGTAAAGGTGTCACCAGTTTCCCCAAACTCTAAACCAAAATTAGAAGTACCCTTTCAAATATTTCAAAATCCACTTCATAGCTTGCCGAGGAACTTTGCATGGGCATAATAAATATCTACTTACCATGTTTACAACATGTGATTGTCAAGTTGAGTCCAAACCATAGCATACATTGGGCTACCAACTACACTAGAGTATGAAATTTGTGACATATATTTATCTCTTCATTTGTATGTGGACATAAATTCCGTATATCGTATTTATCTTTTGTGGCAATCAACATGTCATCATCATATAATAATAGATAAATGAAAGAGCTATTTGAAGTTTGCACAAATATACACAACTATCATATTTGCTCCTACAATGGCCAAGTTGCACCATAAACGACCTTTTATACCACTCTTTAGGTGATTGTTTCAAGCCATATATAGACTTCTTCAATTGACCAACATGATCTTCCTTACCTTCAAACCGAAAACCCTCTGGTTGACCCATGTAGATTTTCTCTTCAAATTTACCATACAAGAAAGTTGTTTACACATCGAGTTGTTCCAATTCTACATCATGCATAACAACTAATGCAAGAAAAATCCAAATTGAGTTATGATTAACGATAGTTGAAAACATATCATAAAAATCAACTCCCTCAATCTGACTATAGCCTTTAGCAACTAGACGAGCTTTGAACATAATATCTTCAACTCCAGGATACCTTCTTTTGAAAATCTATTTACAGCCCACAATTTTCTTTCCTTTTGGTGGCTTCACATGCTCCTAAGTCTGATTCTTTTTAGGAGACTCCATCTCTTCATTCATAGCAACTGACCACTTTGCTAAATCTTTTGAAGAGACACTTTTCTTATAAATTTTAGACTCACTCTACTGACTTAGCAATTGAAAGAGTATACGCAACAAAATCTGAGTACCCATATTTCTGTGGAGGCTTCACTATCCTTCAATAGAATACTATTCCTCTTCAGGTTCTTCAATCTTAATATTATCAGTAGACTACTGAACTAGTTACGAAGAAATTGCTTCAACCTCCATCTTTTCCACAACACTTTCTAGATTTTCATGACAGTGAAAAGATGATTCCTTACTAGGATAAAGTATAGCAGACTCAACAAAAGTAATATCTCTGCTAATGATAATCTTAGATGAATCAATAGATTAAAGTCTATAACCCTTTACACCAGAAGCATAATCAAGAAAAATGTATTTCTTTGCTCTAGGTACTAGTTTCCCCCATATGCCAGACATCTAAATACTTGAAAAGAATAATAATCAATAGATTTATCTGATCATACATCCTCAGATGTCTAGCACTCAATAGATGCGCAAGGAGAATGATTTACCAACAAGCAAACTGTATTGACTGCCTTAGCTCCGAACTTTTTGCCCAAACCAGCGTTAGACAACATGCACCTTGTCATTTTTTATAAAGTTTTGTTTATGCATTATGCAATACCATTTTGCTGTGGTGTATTTATTGTAATATGATGCCTTGCAATGTCTTCATTTTTACAGAACTCATTAAACTCGCCTCCACAAAATTTCAACCCATTATCCGTTCTTATCCTCTTGATCTTCTTACCCGTCTATTTCTCAATCAATATTTTCCATTACTTAGATGTAACAAAAACATCACTCTTTTGTTTTAGAAAATAGACCTAAACTTTTCTTAAAAAATCATTGATGAAAGTGAGTAGATACCGTGAACCAAGGACTTTTGAAGGAACTTTTGCAGGACCTCAAAGATCACAATGAATATAATCCAAAGTGTCATTTGTTGCATGAATTCCTGTTTTGAAATTGACCCTTTTCTATTTTCCAAAAACACAATGGTCATAGAAATCCAGTTATCCAATTTTCTGACC